GAAAACCATTCAGAAGAGGGGACTATTGCATCCTTCATAACTATAATTGGTTTCTTCCCCCAGGTTTTGGAGAAGGTGGACGTTGAGCAGAAAATGAGCATCCGATTTCTTCACTAAGGGATGAAACCAAATTGTTCGTTGCTTTCTAGTATTTAAGAACTGGAACTTGAGAGTCCTCCTGTCTACCAGCCCTGCCTCTACCCCATCATTCCCCTTTCCTAACTTACTACTGCTGTTGCATGACAACCCCAAATACGATCTGTCAACACAAACCAGCCTTTAGTATGTAAACAGGGCATTACAGAATGGTACACCCAGTCTATTTCTATTCATTATCCATTCACCAGTTCTCCATTTATATATATTGTCTTGCTAATGAATGCTACACATCCATCCAGTCTGAGAAAGTAAGAGGCCATCATGCCAAGGTCAAGCCAGCAAAGGTCTTTCACCGGATGTGAACTGTAGCCATGCTGCCTTCTCTCCAGTGAGGCCTTGGCATACTTCTCATTCTTTTTATATGTCTTTTGCTTCCTACTTCTTTTGTTACCCCACAAACCATTTACTTAGTCTTACTGTCCCTCTCCTTTTTACTGAGTCTCAAAATCTCTGTTCTCCTTGACATCCCGAACTATACCTGTTAAATATATGTCTGACTTGGCAGGATAGTTGGGTGGTCTGGCTATTGTTATCACCATCATACTTCAGTGGGTTTCTAGGATGTTGCCTCTTCAGGAGCTTTTGGGTAACCAACATTTCTTTCTGAAGAATGAAACCATATTTTTGACCCTTGCACTCTGTTCTGTCATCAAAGGACTGTTGGGTAGAGATATCCTTCTTGAAAGATGGTCTTGGTGAGAGATGTAGAGCCAAGTCTTGCCCAGGTCTCTTTACCTGTGGCCTTTCATTCTCAACTTACATACCTACATGGCTCCTCTTATCAGTACAGTGTTATTCAGAAGATAGCCATATGCCTGCAGGTTTGCTTAGTTTGGAGACACCATTACTACCAGAATGGCTGCTATGACAATGTGCTTGGGAACTTCCTCATGGGTTCTTGAACAAGGAGGGTGGGCACCCTCTAAAGCCTCCTGAATTCACACCTGTGCAGCATGGTTCATGCCTCAGTGTTACATGCACTGGAATATTTTCCACTTTATGTTTCCAAGTAGAGAAATTAGTATTATGGAAGTGCCTAATTTATCCCAGTCCAAAAGATTTAAAGATTCTCCTTAGCATCTTGAGGTTTTACACAAAATTCTTTATGAATTTTACACTTGGCAAAATGTTCATGCTGGAAGCCATAGTCAGCGCCTAATGCAGGTCCAAAGCATTGAATGTATTGTATCATTAGCTGCCTGGTTATCTTAGCTTCCTAGTTCTAGTAGACCCCTGCTAATCCCTTGGAAACAAGGGGTCTTCCACTGGTGGCTCAACCTAAGGTAGCATTATAGGTCTTTGAGCAAGCCACAGCAACTTCTCTGCCAGTCAGCTTAGTTTAAGCTTAAATGAATCAAGCCATTGCCATCCTAATGTATGTCTGTATGAGTCTATTCATCCATGTATCTGCCCTTGACTGACTTTCTCTTACTCATTGCCTCCTTGCTTGCTTGCTTGCTTGTTTGCTTGCTTTCAAAGGCTAAGATGTGTACACAGTTCTTTAGGAAGAGGATTGTGAAAAATGCCACTGCAAAAGGATGGAGAATGATAGGGAATAGGGCAGTGGCCAGGCTGGATGATTCAAGTATAAATGAATGAAGAATTCTTTATGAAACATCAGTCTGACTTTGTGATCAAGTGATGTAATATAGGAACTGTATAAAAGGGAAGAATTACCTGATACTGACCTATAAGAGAGGTACTTCAGAGGCTCCTTGATTTAAATATTTAAAGTTTCTAAGATTATGGCTTTTCCCCCCTTTTGGCTGTACAGCAAACTGTTTTAATCCACAGTTGTGCCTTATTGTTCCATTAAAATTATATCATCAATCCATCAATAAATACTTGTGATTAAAACAAAAGAACTTGGTTGATTCTGTCTGTTTTATAAGAAATTTGCTTAACTCAGTACCATTGAAGTTGGAGATCACAAATAGTATCTCCTTTACGTAAATTTATGTCTGTAATACCAGCTGCAGGTCTACTCTGCCACTTCCTGGACATATAAAATGGAAGCATGCATTTGGAGGCTAGCACAATCTGTCCCTAGGCACAGTTTTGTCAGCCTCAGCTACTTACCATTCATTCCAGGTAAGATAGAATTTCTATTCTTGACTCTTGGGCTCCTTAAAATGTAGACAGGGGCTGAGCAGGGTAGTTCACACACACCTGCCCAACAATAGGACTTGCAATGCTGAGCTGAGAGATGCACTTGAGGCTAGGATCAGTGGACAACCAGTGAGACCCTGTCTGCCTGTCTGTAAAAAAAAAAAGGACATTGATAAAACAATGTATTCTCAGGGAGCAAAATGGTGAGGAGATTAATGGCAACTTGACAATTTATTGTTTTAGACAGTTTTAGGAACCACCATGGTTTTAACCCAGGGAAAAGAAAGATGATAGATATGGTAACTACAAGTTCTGACAATTAAGTTCATGAACTCATCCTAGAAAAAGTGCCACATACCTCATTGCTGCATATCACTACCATCACCTTCAAAGTATTCCCTTTGTGAAGCTATGGACCTAGTTCATCCTGCAGAGCAATTTTGGAACTCTCTGAAATCACCATCCCAGCTGTTATTCTACAGCACACAAAACACCCAACAACAATAATGAATACCACTCAGCAAAACACCACCATTCTCAACATGAACATAGCTGTGAGACACTGATATACCAACGCTATGAAAACCCTACTGAGTTGTTTGTACAGTGCTGCCAACATACGTGCATGATGGCAAGTTCGAGAACTTAATCATCACACCTTCATACAATGACAGCTATGATGGTCATTCCAGGAAGAGTTCCAAAATTGCTTTGAAAGGTGGACTAGGCTCTGGCATTAGTGCACATCTTCCCAAGGGTGGTACTTCAATGGTCATCACCATGATATTCAGTAATGGAGGTAGATAGCACTTTTTCTAAGACACGTTTACACCTTAATTGTCCGACCATCATATATTCAGGTAGCAAAGGACTTATCCTCTGAAAGTTCCTCTGTTATATTTCACTTTTTTTTTCTTTTCTTTTTTGAGACAGAGTTTCACTGTGTCACCCTCGGTAGAATGCTGTGGCATCACAGCTCACAGCAACCTCTAACTCTTGGGCTTAAGCGATTCTCTTGCCTCAGCTTCACAAGTAGCAGGGACTACAGGCACCCACCACAATGCCCAGCTATTTTGTTGTTGTTGCTGTTGTCATTGTTCTTTAGCAGGCCTGGGCCAGGTTTGAACCAGCCTACCTCTGTGTGTGTGGCCAGTGCCCTAACCACTGAGCTACAGGCACCGAGCCTTTTTTCTTTTTTTGAGACAGATTCTTACTCTGTTGCCCAAGCTAGAGTGCCATGATGTCATCATAGCTCAAGCAACCTCAAATTCTCTTGCCTCGGCTCGGCGCCTGTGGCTCAAGTGGCTAAGGCGCCAGCCACATACACCTAAGGTAGCGGGTTCGCATCCAGCCCAAGCCTGCCAAACAATGATGGCTGCAACCAAAAAAAAAAAAAAAAGAAAGAAATTCTCTTGCCTCACCCTCCCAAGTAGCTGGAACTACAGGCAAGCACAACTATGCCTGGCTAATTTTTTCTACATTTAGTAAGAGATGGGGTCTCACTTTTGCTCAGGGTGGTCTTGAACTCCTGAGCTCAAGCAATCCAACCCATCTCAGCCTCCCAGAGTACTAGAATTAGGCATGAATCACCATGCCCAGCCTGGAATTGCAATTGATTTTTGTATACAGATCTTGATTACTAGGACCTTTCCACATATATATATGTATATATACTTACTAGTTCTGGTATTGTTTTTGTTAATTCCTATTATTTTCTACAGAAAGTCACATCATCGGCAAATAAAGGCAGTTTATTTCTTCCAATCTGGATACCTTTTTCATTTTTACTGGCTACGCCTTCCAGTACAATTTTGAATAGAAGGGGTGGGAGCTAGTGTACTTGCCTTGTTCCTGACCGTAAAGACAAAGTGTGAAGTCTTGCCACTAAGGTATGATGTGAGCTATAAACCTCTCCATAGATACCCTTTATCATAAGCTTCTGTAAAAATAAGATTTCTCGGCCTCCTTGGAAGACAGGGTTTTGGATCTTAGAGAAGTGAAGCCTTAAGAATACATTTCTAAGAAGCGATCCAGATGACAGCTTAGCGGGGTTTGGGACCCACTGTGGAATGACGTCCTTACCCAGACACCACCCTATTACTCTCTCTGCTTCTCCTGAGACCATCGCAGAAGAAAGGATCTGAGTCCTACAGATGGGTGTAGAAAACAACAAAACTAATTGTAAGTTTTTCCCTTTGGCAGGTGGGCCCTCAAGAGTGACAAATCTAAATCCTGCTCTCCTGTTACTGACCAGCGCTGTAAACAACAGGCCAACCTCGAGGCTCTTATTTTTACTTTTAGGGTCTAAATAGGTCAAACAAAGTCGAAGACAAACTGGAACCATTAAATTCTTTGCCTGGATGTTACGTGAAGCCTAGGATTAAAACCTCTCTGCCGTGAGAATGAAATCCGTCCAATAGTTTAATAATGGCTTAAAATAGCCATGCGGCCCAGCCAGGCTATCTTACGATTAGGTGACACTGCTTCTACGCGGAAATAATTTTACATTCTTAACAAATGACTTAAAGCATTTGCCCTATTACCTCAACCCAAGACCCAATCCGATCCCGTGGGGCTAGCGTTATTGATCGACGTGCGTTCCCAACCAATATACGACTGAAGGAGAGCAAGCGCGAGCAAGCCAAGGTCCAATCAGTACTCAGCAGCAGAGGCGGGGGCGGGGCTTGAGAAAACTGCTCGCCCCAGGGTTGGCGGACTGGAGAAGGAGCGAAGATGGCGGAGTGAGGCGTGCGGCTGGTGACTGGCCTCTGGGCCCGGGGCGGGCCGGCCCCTAGGAGGCCGAGTGCGTCTGTCCGGCCGTGCGAGGTAAGCCGAGAAGTCTGGAGACAGGGGTACGAACAGGCGATGAGGAGGTGGCGCAGTCTATACCAGCCTGAAAGAGCGCGGGAGCCTACTGGTAGCCAGCCCGGGCCTCGCCCCGTCCGGGGTTTCAGCCCTGGACGGCCCTGGCGCGTCTGGCACCCGCTTTCTGGGCCTGTAGCCAGCCCACTACCTCCTTGACCTGCCACAACCCTTTCCAGTACAGTACTTTTAGCTGCCTTTGTGCGGCCAGCTTGTTTCCCAGGGATTGCACCCACGCAGGGCTATAGGTAGCAGCTGCTGCGTCGGCCGTCAATTTATTTTTTGAATATCTTCGTTTTATTGATTTATTTATACTCCTTGCCTTAAGATTTGGTGCCCGTTCTTTTTGCCCTGAGGTTCCGATATGTATCGAGGCCTCGTGGCGGTCCCGAGTACTTTGACCTTGAGATGTAGTATAACTGATTCCCTTTGGGATATTCATTCGAGTGTGTGTAGTAGCGGACATCCTCTTACAATCTTTACTATATCCATTTGCTCCCACTCCTACCCCTCAAACTTTTATGATCTGAGTAAGCAGTTTTGTCCTTGTTTGTCCTGATAATGTCCAAATAGTGCACTAATTTTTGCTGATGCTGAGTCTTCGTAGAACTTACTGGTTTTGTTTTCTGACCCAGAACCAAAGGAGTTCGGTGTACAAATTTTATTTTATTTTATTTTGAGATAAAGGCTCACTTTGTCGCCCTCGGTAGAGTGCCGTGGCGTCATAGCTCACCTCCAACTCTTGGGCTCAAGCGCCTCTCGCCTCAGCTTTCCGAATGGCTTGAGGCCACAACTCGCGGCTAGTTTTTTCTATTTTTAGTAGAGGTGACATCCCACTCTTGCTCAGGATGGTCTCAAACTCCTCTGAGCTCAGGTGACCCCCCGCCCACCTCAGCTTCCCAGGGTGATAGGACTACAGGCGTGAGCCACCAAGCCTGGCCTACAATATTTTTTTATAGAGAGAGAATAAGAAATAATTTGGAGATATGTTACTAGAACATAATTTGTGTAATATGGCAGGGTTGTAGGTCAGTACTGCCGGCATTTGCATTAGGTTCTTGTTTAATTTCATGAGTTATCTTTTTATAAGTTGGATTGTTACACCTTCAATGCTTCATTCTCTGTGTTAAATTCTAGTTAAGGTCCTGTTACTAGGTTTCTGAACTGGTGAGGCCTCTTTAAATCTGTAACAGGTTAGGTTCAGGGTTTTTTTTTTTTTTTTTTGAGACAAAGTCTCATTTTGTCTTCCCAGGTAGAGTTCCTTGGTATCATATCTCACAGCAACCTCAGACTTTTGGGCTCAAGCGATCTCTCTTGCCTCAGCCTCCCAAGTAGCTGGGACTACAGGCGCCCACCACAATGGCTGGCCATTTTTAGAGATGAGGTCTCACTCTTGCTTGGCCAGGTCTCTAACCTGTGAGCTCAGGCAATCCACCCACCTTGACCTTCCAGAGTGGTAGAATTACAGGCGAGAGCCACTGTGACGTCAAATTTGAATAGATATACCATAATAAAATGAATGTTGTTGGCAAATGATGTGCCCTTTGCTGGCCCCAGATTTAGCAGAGCTGCAAATACCAGGTAAACACTTTTTAAATTTTTTATTTTTTTTTTTTGAGACAAGCGTCTTAACTACAATTGCCCTTGGTAGAGTGCTGTTGGTATCACAGCTCACAGCAACCTCAAACTCTTGGGCTTAAGTGATTCTCTTGCCTCAGCCTCCCAAGTATGGGACTACAGGCATCCACCACAACGCCCAGCTATTTTTTTGTTGCAGTTGGCATTGTTGTTTAGCTGGCCGGGGCCAGGTTCCAGTCTCAGGCTGTCGCTCTGGGTAGAATGCTGTGGCATCACAGCTCACAGCAACCTCAAACTCTTGGGCTCAAGCAATTCTCTTGCCTCAGCCTCCCAAGTAGCTGGGGCGCCTGTGGTTCAGTGAGTACAGTGCCAGCCTCATATACTGAGGTGCCCACCACAATGCCTGGCTATTTTTCTGTTGCAGTTGTCATTGTTGCTTTAGCTGGCCCAGGCTGGGTTCAAACCCACCAGCCTTTGTGTACATGGCCTGTGCCTTACCCACTAAACTATAGGTACCACCCAAGGTAAACATTTTTTTTTAAATACAATATATTTTGGGTTTCACTTACAATTGCACAGAGATTGAGAGGTCTGCCTTTTTTTTTTTTTTTTTTTTTTTTTTTTGCAGTTTTTGGCTGAGGCTGGGTTTGAACCCGCCACCTCCCATATATGGGGCCAGCGCCCTATTCCTTGAGTCACAGGCGCCACCCCAAGGTAAACACTTTTAAATGTGACTTTTTTGTTGCTTTTGTCAGTAGTTTTCATCTTATCTTAGAAAAGAAAAAAGGTACAGGCCCAGGAAAGGAGCGAAATGAGTGGCATGTTCTTCCTGCCTTACACTAAAGCCAAAGTTGTTAGGTTAGCAAGGGACTATATACTACTGGATATTTTATGCACAATTATACATTTTTGTGGGAAGAAGAGGGCCTATAATATCAGCAGATTCTTGAACAGTATTCCATAAAGACTTGAGAGTCACTGCTGCAAGACTCTGGCATCTTTTAAGATTATACCAGTGTAGGTAGAGATTGCTTTTTGCTCCTTTTGAATAGTTTATAACAGTCTTATTTTATTAGAATACTTGATTTGTTTGAATAATTTTGTATATGAATGCATTTGCCACCAGTGGGGTTATATCCTAATGTTCTTTTTATTTTCAGGTTCCTTATCACAGGAAGAACATTTTCCTTGACCTTTAGGTGCTTTCGTATTCATCTCAAAAACAAAATGCTAAACTCAGGACTTGGAAAGTAAGTAATTCCAAATACTGTTTAAGCAGCTTTAAAATAGCTAGAACAATGAACTGACAGCTTCACAGAAGATGAACATCAAAAATAATTAGAACCTGGGCCCTTTGGGAGGTTAAGTTAAAAGGATTGCTTGAATCCTGGGTGGTGCCTATGGCTCAGTGAGTACGGTGCCAGCCCCATACCGAGGGTGGCGGGTTCAGACCCAGCCCCGGTCAAACTGCAACAAAAAAAAAAAAAAAGAAAGATTGCTTGAATCCCGAGTTTGAGATTAGCCTGGGCAATAGAGCAAGACCCTGTCTCTATAAAAAGTAATAAAAAGGTAGCCAGATAATGGTGGTATACTCCTGTAGTCCCAGCTATTCACAGGCTAAGGTAAGAGGATTGCTTCAGCTCTGGAGGTGGAGTCTGCATTGACCTATGATCATACCACTGCAATCCAGCCTGGGTGACAGCAAGACCCTATCTCAATTTAAAGAAAGGACGCACTTATTGATAATAAAGTAAAAAATCTTGTATTTTTCAACAGATGTATTAGAGAAAGAGAAAAAAGATTATTATTTGCCCAAACCAGTAATATTTATTTATTTATTTTTGAGACACATTTTCACTATGTTGCCCTGGGGTAGAGTGCTGTGGCATCACAGCTCACAGCAATCTCAAACTCTTGGGCTTAAGTGATTCTCTTGCCTTAGCCTCCGAAGTAGCTGGGGCTACAGGCACCCACCACAGTGTCCAGCTCTTTTTTTCTGTTGCAGTCATCATTATTCTTTTACCTGGGCTGGGCTGGGTTTGAACTTGCCAGTCTCAGTGTATGTGACTGGCACCTTACCCACTAAGCTATGTGTGCAACCAATAATTTTTATTTTTAAGAGAGAAGAGTCTAGTGTGCACCACCATGCCCAGCAAATTTTTCTTATTTTTATAGTGACAAGGATCTAAATATTTTACCCAGGCTGGTCTCAGAACTCCTAGTCTCAAACAGTCCTCCCACCTCACCCTCCCAAAGCACTGGGACTACAGGCATGAGGGAAGAGGATTGCTAAACCCTAAGAGTTTGACGTTGCTGTGAGCTATGACACCATAGCATTCTAATACAGAGTGACAGAGTAAGACTCTGTCTCAAAAAAAAAAAAAAAAAAAGATACAGCTTTAATTAGATTGAAGGAAATCAACTTATTAAGAAGATAAGCGTTGGCTCGGCGCCTGTGGCTCAAGTGGTTAAGGCACCAACCACATAACACCTAAGGTGGCGGGTTCAAATCCAGCCCGGGCCCGCCAAACAACAATGACGACTGCAACCAAAAAATAGCCAGGTGTTGTGGCAGGCACCTGTGGTCCCAGCTACCTAGGAGGCTGAGGCAGGAGACTCGCCCAGGAGTTGGAGGTTGCTGTGAGCAGTGATGCCATGGCACTCTACCCAGGGGGACAACTTGAGGCTCTGTCTCAAAAAAAAAAAGATAAGTGTTGGCTCAGTGCCTGTAGCTCAAGCGGCCAAGGTGCCACCCACATACACTGGAGCTGGCAGGTTTGAATCCAGGCTAAGCCTGCCAAACAACAATGACAAGTACAACCAAACAAAAAAAAATAGCCGGGCATTGTAGAAGGTGTATGTAATCCTAGCTACTTGGGAGGCTGAGGTAAGAGAATCACTTAAGCCCAAGAGTTGGAGGTTGCTGTGAGCTGTGACGCCATGGCACTCTACCCAGGGGGACAGCTTGAGACTCCAGAAAAAAAAAATATTACTGAACAAATTTATTTAAATTAATTTTATTATGTATATTTAAGATATATAGCATGATGTCATGGGATAACTTATAGTGAAAAAGGTTGCTATAGTAAAGGATTTAGTGTCCATATCCATCCTCTCCACCTAGTTACTTTCCCCCCTTTTTATTTTTTTGTGACAAGAGAAATTAACATTTACTTAACTCATTTAGCATGAATCCATCTATAGTGCAATTTTACTACCTTGAGAATTTATAGTTCTCATAATATACATGTGATTTCTAGACTTGTTCCTCCTATATATATCTGATACTTTTTATATATATATATATATATTTTTTTTTTTTTTTTTGAGCCAGATCCTCAAGCTGTCCCCCTGGGTAGAGTGCCGTGGCATTACAGCTCACAGCAACTCCAACTCCTGGGCTCAAGTGAGTCTCTTGCCTCCGCCTCCCAAGTAGCTGGGACCACAGGAGCCCACCACAACGCCTGGCTATTTTTTGGTTGCAGCCGTCATTGTTGTTTGGCGGATCTGGGCTGGGGATTCGAACCCGCCACCTTAGGTGTACGTGGCTGGCGCCTTAGCCGGTTGAGTTATAGGCACCGAGCCTGATACTTTATATTCTCAAACTACATCTCTCCATTTCCCAACCCCCAGCCACTGTTTTGTTCTGTTACTCTGTCTTTGATTTTTTTTTTTAAATTTCAAATGTAAATGAGATTGCAATATTTTTCTTTCTTTGTCTAGCTTATTTCAGTTAGCATGATGTCCTGCAGGCTTATCCATGTTATGGCTAATGGCAAGATCATGCTCTCTTAACGGTTGAGTAATATTCCATGATAGTATGTATTGTCATTTCTATAGTATTTTCATCCATTCATCTGTTGATGGACACTTAGGTTATTTCCATAACTTAGCTTTTTATGAATAATGCTGCGGTGAACGTGGGAGTGTAGTTACCTTTATCAGGTGGTTATTTCATGTCATTTGGGTATACATCCAGAGGGATTGCTGTGGGTCATACAATATTTATATTTTTAATTTCTTTACAAACTTCCATACTATTTTCCATAGTGGCTAAACCAGTCTATATTCCCATCAATAGTAAATAAGAGTTTACTTTTCTTTACAGCCAGGAAAAATTTAGAATGTTTTTTCTTAAGTTTTAATTATAGGCTATTTATTTATTTTGAGGTAGTCTCACTTTGTTGCCCAGGGTAGTGTGCCATGGCACCATAGCTCATAGCAACCTCAAACTCTTAGGCTCCAGCGAAACTCCTCCCTCAGCCTCCTGAGTAGCTGGGGCTACAGGCACCAGCCACCACACTGCTTATTTTTCTATTTTTAGTAGAGACAAGGTGTCGCTGTTGCCCAGGCTGGTCTAGAACTCCTGAGCTCAGGCAATACACCTGCCTCAGCCTCCCAGAGTGCTAGGATTATAGGTCTGAGCCAGCCCAGCCACCAAATAATATTTTAATTTTTAGTTTCTAGAAAACTTTTCTGTTTACCTGTAACATTCCTCGATACATATTTGTTTTGTGCCAAATGTTGATATCTTCTGAATTTACCACAGAAGTAAAGAAGGTTCTGTTGCTCAAAGAGCAAAAGTTGTGTGCTTTCTTAACTGTTAGTTACTTCATATCTACAAAATAGGCTTCATACCCACTGTATTAGTTTCCTTCACCTGTTGTAACAAAGTACCACAAACTGAGTAGCTTAGAACAACAGAAATTTATTGTCTGGCTTCTGAGCTCCAAGGAATCCTCCTTCTTCTCATTTTTAAGAGTCTAGACAGATAACTCGCTGGAGTAAGAGTGAGACCCCAAGTCCTAAAAAAAATGGAAAAATCCAGCTGGGTGCTACATCAAGGACAGTGGCTTCCAGAGGCTGAGGCAGCGGGATGCCCTCAGCCTGAGTAGAGTAGGACTCTGTCTCAACAACAACAAAAGAATCTAGACAGTTTCCTGATTAAGGAATGATACTCTTTTGAAGGGCTTCTTTGGTTTATACAGAATTGTTTCAATATATTTACTTCCAGAAAGAACTAGCTAGTATCTTTCCCTTTCAGCATTACTGTCATTTATTTTCCCATTAGAATTGGATTGCAGAACAGCCAAGTGACTAGTACAAGCTTTGGATGAGTGACCTTCTATAATGTAGCAGCTTTGCAGCCTGTAGGATTCTGAAGGTGTATGTGTGTACCTTTATTTCTTCCTTTTATTTCCACAGCTTTTGCAACAAATTCAAATTCTCCAGTTCTCTTCCTAAATTATTCTGAAATAATTTACACTTGTCTTTCCTAAGATTTGAATCAGAAGCCTGTCTTCAATCAGAAGAGTTATTCAGGTTCATTTTAGAGTTGTGGTATATTGTTATGTATCTGACAGGCTAAAAACAGTGGGCTAGGAAGACTAGTTCGCCAATCACTATTGGCTATTTTTATAAACTCAAATCATTTAAGCCTTTGTATACATATTTATTGTTGTAAAACATAAGAAAATTTACCATTTTAACTATTTTGTCTTTTCCTTTTTTTTTTTTTTTAGAGACAGAGTTTCATTTTGTCACCCTCGGTAGAGTACGGTGGCATCACAGGCTTAGGTGATTCACTTGCCTCAGTCTCCCAAGTGGCTGGGACTACAGGTGCCACTGTTAACACCCGGCTATTTTTTTTGTTGCAGTTTGACTGGGGCAAACGAGGTTTGAACACGCTGCCCTTGGTATATGGGGCTAGCACCCTACTTACTGAGCCATAGCTGCCACTCCTTTGTCTTTTTTTTTTTTTGCAGTTTTTGGCCAGGTCTGGGTTTGAGCCTGCCACCTCCAGTATATGGGGCAAGTGCCCTACTCCTTGAGCCACAGGCGTTGCCCTTTCTTTTTGTTTAGTTGAGGTAGTCTCAAGTTGTCACCCTGGGTAGAGTGCTGTAGTGTCATCGCTAACTGCAATCTCCAACTCTTGGGCTCAAACGATCCTCTTGCCTCAGTTTTTCTATTTTTAGTAGAGATAGGGTCTTGCTTTTTGCTCAGGCTGATCTTGAACTTGTCCAGCCTTAGCCTCCTAAAATGCTAGGATTATACAGGCATGAGCCACCATGCCCAGCCAATTTTTTCTTTCTTTTAAAGAGACAGGAGGGCTGGGCCCAGTGGCTCACACCTATAATCCTAGCACTCTGGGAAGCCAAGGTGGGTAGATTGCCTGAGCTTAGGAATTGAAGGCCAGCCTGAGCAAGAGTGAGACCCTATCTTTAAAAATAGCCTTGCATTGTAGTGAGCATCTATAGTCCCAGCTACTTGGGAAGCTGAGGCAAGAGGATAACTTGAGCCCAGGAGTTTGAGATTGCCGTGAGCTGTGACACCACGACACTATCAACTGGGACAAAGTGAGACTCTGTCTCAAAAAAAAAAAAAGACAAGGTCTTGCTCTGTTGCCCAGGCTAGAGTGAAGTAGCAGGATCATAGCTCACTCTAGCCTTAAATTCCTGAGATCAAATGATACTTCTACTACCTCAGCCTCCTGATTAGCTAGGACTATGGGTACAAGCCACCAAGCCAAGCTAATTTTATTTATATTTTTATTTATTTTATTTATTTTTGAGACAGAGTATCACCATGTTGCCCTCAATAGAGTGCTGTAGCATCAGAGCTCAAGCAACCTCAAACTCTTGGGCTTAAGCAATTCTCTTGCCTCAGCTTCCCAAGTAGCTGGGGCTACAGGCACCCACTACAACACCTGGCTATTTTGCTGTTGTTGCAGTTGTAATTGTTGTTTAGCTGGCCTGGGCTGGGTTCGAACCCGCCAGCCTTTGTGCCTGGGGCCAGCGCTGTAACCACTGTGCTATGGGCGCCAAGCCTATTTATATTTTTAGAGACTGGGTCTTCGGCTCGGCACCTGTGGCTCAAGTGGCTAAGGCACCAGCCATGTACACCCAAGGTGGCAGGTTCAAATCCAACTCAGGCCCGCCAAACAACAACAGTGGCTGCAACCAAAAAATAGCTGGGCGTTGTGGCGGGCACCTTTGGTCCCAGCTACTCAGGAGGCTGAGGCCGGAGACTCACTTGAGCCCAGGAGTTAGAGGTTGCTGTGAGCTGTGATGTCACAGCACTCTACCCAGGGGGACAGCTTGAGGCTCCTGTCTCAAAAAAAAAAAACAAAAAAGAGAGAGACTGGGTCTCCCTGTGTTGCCTAGGTTTGTCTCAAACTCATAGGCTCAAGCAACCTTCCTTCTTCAGCCTCCAGGAGTTGGTGGGATTGTAGACCTGAGCTACTGTGTCTGGCCACTTTAACCACTTTCAAGTGTATAATTTGTTGATGCTAAGTATATTCTACATTGTTGTACAACTCTTAACCACTGTCTATTTCCAGAAGTTTTTCATTATCTCAAACAGAAACCCAGTAATCATTAATCAGTAACTTTCCATCTGTCTTCCCACAGCCCCTGGTAATCTATTCTATTTCTGCAAATGAATTTGCCTCTTCTAAGTATTTCAAGTTATACAGTATTATACAGTATGTCTTTCTTTCTGTTGTCACTTGTTTCTGCAAATGTAACAGTTTTACATTTAGCAGCAATCAACTTGGTTTAGTTGTTTTACATGCTTGCATTTGGTGATATTATTTTACTTGTGCTAATGTTTTAAAAACTTTTTATTGTGGCTCAGTGGCCTGTAGCTCAAATGGGTTCAAATCCAGCCTGAGCCCGTCAAACAACAATGACAGCTGCACCCAAGAAAAATAGCTGGGTATTGTGACAGGCGCCTGTAGTCCCAGCTACTTGGGAGGCTGAAGCAAGAGAATAGCTTAAACCCAGGAGGTGGAGGTTGCTGTGAGCTGTGATGCTACAGCACTCTACCCCGGGTAACAGCTTGAGGCTCTGTGTCAAAAACAAAAATTTTTTATTGTTCACTGTTGTAGTTGAAGGTCATTCAAAGTAAGATGATACATAATGGTTTTGACTGTTATAGAAATAGATATCTAAATTTGGAGTGTAGTGCTTCTTTTAAACATGTTTTATGTATATAACTTAAGTATATAAAGCTAGCTTTTTTTAATATGATGCTTATATATTTTTTCTGGCTACTACTTGTCTGATGACAATACTAAATTTGCTATTATGGTTGGACATTAATGTGTAATCCAAAATAGTCTTTTCTTATTTTTTAAATTGTGTTTTTAAAAATCAACTTATACAGAAGTACCAATTCTAATTTTTTTTTTTTTTTTGTAGTTTTTGGCTGGGGTTGGGTTCAAACCCACCACCTGCACTGCCTAATTCTAATCTATTTTAAATTTATTTTTATTTCCAGGTATCTCTGTGTTGTCTCTTATAGCGGGCAATCTGACTTCTTTTATCCAGCCACTTTCCCTGTTCTTGAAATGTGGATATCTCTTCTCTACACATTACCTCCACGATTTGGAATGGAAAAGACCAGGTTTTTTGTTCCACCTCTCAGATTCTACACAGAGAAGCCCCTAAAACGTGTTTATCCTGCCTACTTCTCCAGGAAGAGAGAAGCAACTGACATGGGTCTTCTGCTGCTGCTTGCTTAATTGTAAAGAAATTATTTTGGAAGCTAAAGGCTAATGTTTCATTTGAAACAGGTGCTTAGATGGTGGTATTTGTGAATATTTTATTATTTGTTCCAAATGAGAAGACGAAGTAAATAGCAAGTATGGATGACTTCAGGGTTTTTTAAATGTCTTCCAGTTTCAGCCACTATCATGATAAGAAGTTGAGACTGCAGAATAAATTCCAAATATGCATTCTAATTTGAAATGAAAGACGCTAAAAAGTTACATAATGATATACCTAATCCTGGCTCATCCTAAAACTGATTACAAGAGTAAACAAAGATACTGTTTTACAATTAAAGCTTCGATGTGATAAAAGCAGCATAGAAACCAACTATCAATTTCTTATGCAAACATACCTTCACAGTGTCTGTGCAAGTACAGTTTTACATGTGTAAATCCCCATTTTTGGATCAGAAGAGGGATTTTTCTCCAAGACAAAGAAGGTGTCTTCTCAAAAGGCTTTGGACATTTGATTTCTAAAAATGTTTTTTATTCTAAGGAAGTACCAGATTGTGCAGCAGTTAACCTGTGAGTGCATGCTTGGGTTTAGTGAAAGGATAGTAAAACAGTTTTGAGTCTAGTGATGGACCTTTTCTCCTTCCTCAGAAGAGAGGCTGCTTCAATTGCTTCATTCTTTTTTGTGGAATCTTATATAGCATTTTAGACTTTGTTTTCCACATTGCTAAGACTGGAAGAAAAGTGGCAGTAAGTGGTTTTTCAGTTCAGAAGATGTGAGAAGACCAGTAGCATGGCCTGTCTTCAACTTTGGACATAGAGGAATGGGGAGAAGGAGGAAAAATGAGAGAATTTTCCATTTGATTCCTTCTTAGAGGCAAAAATCCCTAATGTGGCTCCCTCTGACTTTACGGTGTATTCTATAGCCCCATTTTTTATAAAAGCATAAATAACTCTTTTCCTTAGGCCCAGGATGGATACTTGGATGTTTGACTTATTTTAGGTGATAGGGGTAATATTATATTGAAAAGGCTGGGACTCAGGTACTTTCCTTAGTTGGGACTGAATTTTCTCATCAAAGAAGGGGCCTCAGAAGCAATGTTCCCAAATTTGTGGTTGGGCCATTGTAGATTCAGGGTGTGGAAAAGAAACCTCAAACAAGAAAAATAGTT